TTCATCAGACATATACAAAGTCGTTTACATAGTATTAACATAAGGTATAAAGTATGTACGGTATTTATTTATTTAATTTATTAACAAAATTAAAAAAATGTATTATTTTAAGTTTTAAGTTTAAAACTGGTCATGGTTATTGTCTTCATTGTCTTCGTTGCTGTCATTATCTTCGTCATAATCATCATCATTATCGTTGTCGTTATCATCATCATCATTATCGTTGTCGTCATCATCATCATCATCGGTATCTTTGGCATATTGAAGAGAGACTCGGATATCAGGTGATTTTAGTAATGCGAGTGCTTCAATTGGCATTGATTGTGTTTTTTTCTTCAGTAATTTTCTTTTACTTGAAATTACTGGATCTGAACTTAATAAAAATAAATTTAATATATCTAAATTAGTTTTTTCACGACTACATTTCCTAGAGTTATGCTCTCGATATCTTTTGAAATCTTTATTTCGCGCTTCTTGGGCTTCTTCAGTTAACTGTCCTATTGGCAACAAAGCCGATTCAATTATCTCTGGTCCATGTATAAAAAACTTGTGCATCGTGGGTGACATATTATACCACGGATACTTCTCAACAAAATATTTTGCAGTTTTATACGTGTATTCCCGAAACTCATTGATTTTTATTTCGTGTCCACTTGCTACTACTATCATTACTATATGTATTTTTTCTATTATTTCTACGTCTAATTTTGTGATTTCAGCAGATATTTCTGAATTTTGGAAAAAACGTCTGGCTGTGTTCCCATCATTAGAATTTCCAAATCCTGGTTTGGGTTTATCTACAAGTAATCCTAATTTGTCTTTGAATTCTTTTTGAATTCTTAACTTATTTTCTGAAACAATTTTTTTTTCCACATCTCCTCTAGCTTGCCATTTTTTAAGTGGTAATTTGTAAGACAAATGAAGGAGACATTCGAAAAAACGAATCCACCCGTGTAAAACTGATATCCCAAAAGATAAATTATCAGTTTTTACCTCTCGTTTAACCATTTCATCAATTAAATTAAACTGTTTCGATGTTGCACCACACAAGAAACATTTAAGTGTTGATGACGTATCAGTGAGTACATTACATATTTTCCCATCAACCATTGCTAAAATCAAATTGTGAGTTACAATAAATGATTTGTTATCAAAAGTCACAATACTATTTATTAACTTATTTATTTGACTCTGAACTTTTTCTTTCTCAGCTATAGATGTATCTGTAGATTCTTTTATAAACTCAATTTTTATAGGCCTACAATATCTAGTTGATGCAGGACGTGGGTTTTGCCATATAATTTGGTCACCGTTTACCAAGCGAAGTGGAACTATACTTGTAATAAATACAGCCGAATCACTGGCTTCGGGACTACAAAAAGCTTGTTTATATGAACTATGTCCAGAGCTGCCATCAAAGCCCCATTTTGAATACAAAACGAACTTATCTAATTCATTTTCTTGGAGTAAGACAATAACAGGCTTTTGCACTAAAAATAATCGTTCTACTGTGTGATCAAGTAATGCTTGTAAAGAAACTTCTGCGTTTGTAGAAGTTACTTGTATGTTTTCTGGTTTTGGATAACACTGTTTTTTACTTTCTTGTACGACTTTGTATGATGGAAATTTATCTGGGGCACTCATGCGAATAATATTGTACTGATGTCTAGATAGCTTTGCATCTACTATAACAGCTAGAGCATCTTCACCCGATAGTTATTTAGGTGCTTGTGCAGACTGCTTCTTAAATACTTTTCTATATCTACTTGCACGTGTGGGGGTGGATGTAGTTATTTCCTTCAGTAACTTTGCGGCTTCAACTTGTCCCGATGCTCTTAAGCTCATCTGTGTTGCATGACTTAACACATTAACAGACGTATTATTTCTCAGTTCTTGAGTTATTTTCCGCTTGTTTCGTTCACTACTCATCTCAAATGCCACTACTGGACGACCACGATTATTCTGGTTATTTAAAGATATAAATTTAATAGAAGCATTTAACCAGTTTTTATTTTCTATAATAAATCGTTCTTCCACTCTATGTGCCTTTTCCCAACGAGATTTATATTCAGATTTGAAATAAGACAATTTTTTTTTCAAATCATTTTGCTCACAGTTTTTCACTCGTTTTTCTATTTCGATTTTTATCAAATTAAATTTTTCATCAATAGTCTCACATCCAGAACTTTTAATTATATCATATAATTTTTGTCTGGATATCAAAACAGTGCTCGAATTCATTCCTATACAAATATTTTTAAACTAATTATGACGTTTGTATTCATCAACATAATATTTCTATAGGTACCTACTATCAAAATTAGCAATAAATAATACAGACATGAGATAGTACATAAATAATGTGTTCAAAAAGTTTGGAAATGCTTTAATTACTATTTGTGTATTTTAATGCATACACAGAAAAATAACATATAACACTGCTACACCTTTGTAAGGTAACATTATTAATAAACTCATTAATTATAGTAAATAAAGCAATTTTTTTCATGTGAAATTGGTATAGGTCGTCACAGTTAGAATTTATTTACACGAAATGGGGCAAATATGGGCAACATTTTTTTTAACAAAGTAATAGAATACTCTATTAAGTAATATATTTTGCAATTTGTATTGCTTGGAAAGCCTTGGAAGTGAACTTAAATTATATATCATTTTCGTGTTACAAATATATTATCATTATTATTAGTTATCTAGGTAAATATTATGTATAACTCGGTAAAACGTGTATATTAAACGTAACGTAACTTACCTGTAGCTAATGGTTCCATAATAAATTGAATTGAATACACAAACAATCGCTAAGTTACAGAAAAAAACTAAAATTTAAAATAATATTATTCTGTTGGATTTACACAGTAACACTGTGGACTTATTTTACGACTGCTGAAACTAAATCAATTTAAGCCACAACACGTACACTAAACCGGTAAACTATGCAGTATGAACTCCATTATTGATATATATAATAATTCGATAAGATAAGTAAAATTTGATAAATGCTATTTTTGCCAGCTTTCGATGTTAATTGCCCCACTGTGCG